GAGCTGGTGGGGAGGGGTGGGAAGGGAGAAAATTGTGGCAATGAATGAATGGAAATCCAAAACCTCATGTACAGCAACGCACAGACCAGTGCTATACCACCTAGAAGAATGTTTGACAGAAAAACAATTTGAATGGCCCTCGGGCCCTTTGGGGCTTTAAGCCACCACCTGCCTTAAACCCTAGGCCAAGCCTTGAGGGCCTCGCTCCTGGGGGCAAGAGCAGTACTGCACATCGAACCCAAGCCTGAGAAAGTGCACGAACCTACAAACTTGTGATTACTTACGCACGAGGACCGCTATGCCATGCTTGGGCAGCAAGAAGCCACAGAGACTCTGGGTGGAGTCATCCAGGAATCAGCATGGCCTTCTTCTCCTCCCCCTTCCAGAGCTTTACTACCACCTAGGTTCTTTCATATACATTTTCAAATAATAGATTAAAACTGCTAAGCATTTTCCAAGCTCAACTCTCCCTGTATGTTAGTCTTTTTTTCTACTTGCCTCATTTTATTTTTTCTCTTTTTGTGTGTCCTCTAGCATATTACTCTAGTTCCTAAAGGACTTTAAAATGACCTCAGATAAGTATGAAGCATATCTAATATCTTTATACTTGTATGGAAGAGGCCAATTTGGAATAGACTAGAGAGCTAACCTCGTTAGTTGTGTAATGCTATTAACAATCAGCACAACCAAATGTAAGGTTTTTACCTTGTATAAAAAGGGAGAAAATTTCAGAAAGCTGTCACTTGTAGACATATGAAATAGTTTAACCTACCCCGGCATTGTTATTTTGTATCCCACACATTTTTAAATCATACAATCCCTGTTTTGGTAAGCCTCTGTTTTTATAAAAGTCTCTTTTCCATGTTTGTTGTAGTTGGTTGATTATATTATCCTTGGTGCATTATCTTTTTGAGGTAACTGAAGTATTCTTTATTTTAGGGAGTAATTGATTCGGAGAGAATGGATTTTGAGCTATTGCCCGATGATGAGCGTCAATGTGTAAAGTGCAAAACTACATGCTTCATGTCTGCCATCTCCTGTTCTTGTAAACCTGGCCTCCTCGTTTGCTTGCATCATGTAAAGGAATTGTGTTCCTGTCCTCCTTATAAATATAAGCTCCGGTAAGTAGGAAAAGTGATCTTTTGTGGAAAATGGCAGCTCCTTAATAAAAGTTTAGTGGTGTCCCTATTCCTGAGCAGAAATGTGCATAAAATATCTAATTTTCTCCAAACCCACATATCTAAAATAGTCTGTTCTATTTCCAGCTATAGATATACTCTGGATGATCTGTACCCCATGATGAATGCATTGAAGCTTCGAGCAGAATCTTACAATGAATGGGCCTTGAATGTGAATGAAGCTTTGGAAGCAAAGATCAACAAGAAGAAAAGTATGTGGTATATTAAAGTGGAACTTGAGGATTGGCGGATTTTGTCTGACTGGTCGTGTTGTCAACTGAGATGACCAACAAGCAGACTTCTTGAAGTAGTCCAGTTTTCCCCTTGGTTTTCTGCCACTATTCCTACCTCCCCCCACTAAGAGTAGATGATGTAAATACTGTTGCATCAACGTCTGTAAGTTGTGCAAGATCGTTTTAGTGAAAATTTTATTAAGGAACAGAATTACTAACCTTTTTTACACTTTGTCTCAAAAATAGCCATTTCACATTCTACATGAAGTCTTAGTTTAACATGTCCTTATTTTCTAATTACCCAGATTCAGTGACAAAGGCAGTGTGACAGTTTATTAGGCATCTTTGGTGGAATGCTGGTTCTCCTCATAATGCAAGTCCCTGCCCCTCATTGTTTTCTTAAACGTCTTGTTGCCCAGCTTTGTCAGTGCCTGTGAGCATATGGGTCACCTGCCATCTGCAGAGTTAACCCGAAGAGGAAGAAATGGTCTAAGCCACAAGAAGAATCTTTCATTCCATGTAAATTTCTAAAACATCTCAAACCTTAACATTTTCAAATTGAAGTTAGACCCATCATGAGCCACCAAAACTTATTGCAGGTGTTTTATTGATAAGGATTGACAAGTGGACTACTTTATATTTCATAACAACAGTACTAAAACATAACAGTTCCTAAAAAAATGATTCCTTTCCCCCCCTTTTATCTCTAGGTCTTGTCAGCTTCAAGGCTTTAATTGAAGAATCTGAAATGAAGAAATTCCCAGACAATGATCTTTTGCGTCACCTTCGCCTAGTCACTCAGGATGCAGAGAAATGTGCCTCTGTTGCGCAGCAGTTGCTGAATGGAAAAAGGCAAACGAGGTATGGACTTTTGAGTCTTTGGTTTTGGATTTGTTGGCAGCTAAACTTTGGACTGTCCTGATTCTTTGAAATAACTGGAACCACGTTTCATGCAGATGTTCTTACTTCCGTGGGCTTTTGTCTTTATAGATACCGGTCTGGTGGAGGGAAATCCCAAAATCAGTTGACTGTGAATGAGCTTCGACAATTTGTGACACAACTGTATGCTCTTCCATGTGTCCTCAGTCAAACACCATTGCTAAAGGTAACCGTAGTGGGGTGTCTGGGAGAATCTTTTGGAGATCTTGTATTTTGTAAACTAAAAAAATGATCCTTTTTAGTGGCTAAGTATGTGCAGTATATGTGTGTGTGATTTGAATGAAAGGTTTACAAAGCCATTTGGTTATTCTTCAAGCCATTCACACACTTTATTTCCTCTCAGATATTCTTAATGACATGATCATTGAGGGTCATATTGTATAAAAAGATAATAGACTCACAGAAAAGAGAAAGTGATATAAGGAAGTTAATATATAATCTCTCTTTGAGCTGTTAATTCTTTTGGTTGTTAATTTGTTTATGTAATTTACCTGTGTTGATGCTAAAATCAAAAGAGGTGAGAGATGATCACATTGAATATGTGTGGAAGATTTTCAGTATGAAAGAAGTTGAATATTGAACCGGTTTTGATGCAACACATTTGTTTTGTTGTAGGATCTCTTGAATCGTGTAGAAGAGTTCCAGCAGCATAGCCAGAAGGTGCTTACTGAGGAAATGCCCAGTGCTGCCAAGCTGCAGGAATTGCTGGACATTAGCTTTGAATTTGATGTTGAACTTCCACAGCTTGCTGAGATGCGCATTCGCTTGGAGCAGGCCCGCTGGCTGGAAGAAGTGCAGCAAGCTTGTCTAGACCCCAGCTCCCTCACGTTAGATGATATGAGACGTCTCATAGATCTGGGTGTGGGGCTGGCCCCATATTCAGCAGTGGAGAAAGCTATGGCCCGGCTGCAGGAACTGCTTACAGTGTCAGAGCACTGGGATGATAAAGCCAAGAGTTTCCTCAAGGCCAGGTAAGAGAGCACACTCCCTTTGAACATGGAGCTTAAGTGCTTGACATATAGAAAGTTTTCAGGTAGAGATGGGTTGCTTGTGATTACTTTGGAACTCAACTAAATATTCTTACTAGACTGATTGAGTTCAGTGATGGAAATTTATATATTTCTTCTAGAATGGGCTTAATAACATTTTCCTGGACCCTGATAATGCCATATTTGAGAAGGGAAGATGTTGCAAATAGCTCAGTGCTGTTGAGCTGACTGTGACCCATAGCAACCCTGTGTTCCACAGAATGGAATCCTGCACAATCCTGTACCATCCTTACAGTATTGCTTAAGCCCATTGTTAAAGTCATTGTCTCAGCCCATCTCGTTGAGGATCTTCCTCTTGTTGACCCTCTACTGTTCTAAGCATGGTGGTCTTGTCCAGATAACATGCCTAAAGTATAAGGGATGATGTCTTAATCATCCTTGCTCTAAGGAACACTCTGGCTGCACAGCCTCCAGGACAGATTTGTTTATTCTGTCAGCAGTCCATTTTGTGCCAACACCACAATTCAAAACAAATTCATTCTACTTTATTCATTGCCCACCTTTCACATGTATTTGAAGTAACCAAAAACACTGTGGTACACTTTAGTCTATAAGGTGACATCCTTGCTTTTTAAAGGTCCTTAGCAGATTTTGCCAATGCAATATGTTTGTTTCCTTAACTGCTAATTCTGTGAGTGTGAGTTCAAGTAAAAACCTCAGTTTTTCTCCCATTTGTTATGATGGAAGCCACATTTCATAAATAGTGTCTTAAGGAAGCTTATGGAAAACATCTCTGAGAATTGACATGCACTGCTCTGTAAGGTGAAAATGCAGTGGTGGTTGTTGGTGCTGTGGTACTATCATACTGATTGTTGCCGTGGAACTATCGAGTCGATTTGTGTTCATAATAACCCCATGTGACAAAGTAAAACTGCCCCATAACATTTTCTAGACTGCAGTATCGTAGTAACATAGAAGCAGATCGCCAATTAAGACTCCTTAAAATGACACTTTTAAGAGAGCTCTGGTGGCCTAGCAGGTAGGACGGTTTGCTGCCAACCCAAGGGTAAGTGGTTGAAATCCACTAGTTGCTCTTCAGGAGGAAGCTGGGAAACTTCCTATGTGATTTTCAGTTTCTGAAAATCCATTAGAGGCCTACAACCAGGAGAAGATAAAATAGACGTCAAATCCCTATGCACACCCAGAAACTTCTCCAACAGGGTAAAAAGGGAAGCCACAGACTGGGAAAAAGTATTTGGTAATGACATATCAGATAAGGGACTTAAATCCAGAATTTATAAAATACTTAAGCACCACAACAAGATAAAGTTAAATAATCCAGTTCAAAAATGAGCACAGGATATGGACAATTCACCAAAGAAGACATTCAGATGGCTAACAAGCACATGAAGAAATTCAAAATCCCTAGCTCTAAGAGAGATGCAAATCAAAACAAATAAGAGATACCATCTCACTCCAGTAAGAATAGAAAAATTTAGGGGAGCTCTGGTGGCCTAGTGGCAAAGAGCTGCAACTACAATCCCAGAGGCGCATGGTTTGAATCCACCAGATGGTCTGCCGGGGAAGGAGGGACAATCTCCTTCTGTACCAGTCAGATCTGATTTGATGGTACACTCACACAAAAATAATAAAATAAATTAAAAAAAAGAATAGAAAAATTTAATAGAAGAGCAGGCAACAAATGTTAGTAAGGTGTGGAGAAACTGGAACCCTTATTCACTGTTGGTGGGAGTGTAAAATGGGGCAACCACTGTGGAAGGCAGTATGGCACTTTCTCAAAATATTGCAAGTAGAGATACCATTTGACCCAGCAATTCCTCTACTGGGAATATATGCCAAAGAGACCATAACTGTCATCCAAGCAGATATATGCACACCCATGTTTATCGTGGCTTTGTTCACAATAGCAAGGAGTTGGAAACAACCTGAGTGCCCATCCACAAACAAATGGATAGAGAAGCTGTGGTGTATTCACACAATAGAATACTATGCTGCATTGAAAAATAAGGAACTCATGCAATATTATTCAAAATAGGTGACCCTGGGGGACATTATACTGAGTGAAGTATCTCAGTCTCAAAAGGACAAATACTGCATGGTGCCACTGTTGTAAAACAAGACTGACCTCGGGGTTGGGGAGAGACTGAGAAAGATGGGTTCAATAATGCACACTGCATTGAAACAGATGAGGGAGAAAACTGTTTAAAAGGGATATGTGATTAGGTATTTTTGTCATTACAGGAGTCTAGAGCAAAGGCTGCATAGTGGAGTGGACCTGGGGGGAGGGATTGTAAAACAATGAAAGAATTTTTCTTTTACTTTTCCAAGAGGGTAGTGTACTAGGGGGAAGGTTTGGGAGGGGAGAAAAGTGCAAGAGTGAATGAATGGAAATTAAAAAAAATCCATTAGAGGGTCAACTGTGAGTTGGTTCCAACTTACAACTTCCTTCCCCCCCTCTGCCACCCCCACTAATTTAGTGCAGATAATTTCTGACAAGGACAAGGGCAGAATCTTACTGCATTTGACAGACTTTATTTGGACACAAGCCTAGTCATCTCAAGGGTAAAAGACAACAGAAGGCCCCTCCTAATCTATTTGTCTTATGGTTTGGTTCAGATGATAATATATAAGCACAAAAATATACCTAGATTATTGAGTCTTATAATCCTAAAATAGTAGTAGTTGAGTAGAAATATCTTTTTATTTTTTTTATAAAACTTTATTGATCTTGGCAGTGTATAGTGGAAATTATCACCAAGTTAATTTTTGGCAATGTAAGTTTGTGGATATATCATCATAAAATCAAGAATAAGTAGAATTTAAATGCTTCATTAGGCCATTTGCTTGTTTTAATCGTTGATGCTCTCATGTCTTTGCAGCCGTTTTGAAGTAGTTAACTTGATAATCTAGTAATTGTGCCATTTGAAGAAAGTTACTTGCTATACTAAATTTTCTTTGAAATGATTTTCTGGTATACTGAGTCATTATGGCAAGCTCTGGTGGCCTAGTGGTAAGAAGCTGCATTGCAATCCCAGAGGTGCGCGGTTCAAATCCACCAGATGCTCTGCTGGAGAAGGAGGAACAATCTCCTCCTGTACCAGTCAGATCTAATTTGATGGTATACACACACACACACACACACACACACAAATAATAAAAAATTTAAAAAAATACTGAGTCATGTTTTGTTTTATTTCCATAGGCCGCGGCATTCCCTGAGCAGCCTTGCTGCCGCAGTGAAGGAGATTGAGGACATCCCTGCCTATCTGCCCAATGGGGTGGCTCTGAAAGACTCGGTGCAGAGAGCCAGAGACTGGCTTCAAGATGTGGAAGCCCTACAGGTTGGCTCTTAGTAAAAAAAATATCCTCATGTGAATGTACCTCTATGAAGGGCAGTGATTACAAAGCTGGAAAGACCCTGGTGGATCTCAGTGCACAGCACAGATTTAATATTTTGGAATTGACCAGATTGCTAATTCTTTTTACTTTTGGTGTACTTCTGAGCTGTTGTACTGATTATGTCGCTTAAGGATGTAGAGCTTAGATAATTCTTCTTAAGTTCTTTTAGGGTGCCTAGGGAACCTCCTGTAGCAGAGTCATAGATTTGGAAGAGCTAAAAATGATGCTGTGTCAAAAGGCATAGTTTCTAATTCTTTTTTTTTATTCACAAATAATAATTTTTATTTGTAATTATTAAAAGGCTGAATTTTAAACAGATTCTTGAACTGATGGCTCATAACCATCAGCTCGTTCAACTTTTGCACCTGTCTCATCTCCAGTAGCTTTTCCAGAGCTACCACCTTCTCCACGAATCTCCATGAGTTTGCCCAATTCAAACTTGGGCTTCTTGAGCATTTTTACTTTCCTAACAAATACATCATGGAGAGGATAAATAGATTGGCAAGCCTTTTCTATGTCTTTTCCAGTGCTGTCTGGAATCAATTTATTGACCACCTCTTTCAAGTCATTTGTCTGCACCTCTCGGGTCATGATTTCCATCATTTTCTTCCGGATTTGGAGGACCTGTTGGTGCTGAGCATAAGATGTCTTCCGAATCTGATTGTTGCGTTTTTTTGTAAAACCAACACAAAATAGACGGAGCAAATAACCATCGGTGGTTTTGACATCAACATGTGCTTCAATCATGGTCTGCCATTTTTTGACCATGGAGCACATTTTGTCGCGGGTAAGATCCATGCCATGGAAGTTGATGAGGCAGTTTTTGCCTTGAACATCCTCAGTAATTAGCTTGAATTTTCTAAACGCAACTTCATCATTTTGCAAATCAGCAAGGCTCACTTCAAAAACACGACCCTTGAGTCCATCAGACACAATTTTGGTTCCTTGAGTCCTTGTGACTAATGTCTTCCCAATATTTCTTATATTGAACATTGCTGGCGCCTTTACATCATACCAATCTTTCTTAGAAAATGGATCAACCACTTTCTTCTTGGCTCCTTTTTTGCCACCTTTTGTAAGGCGCTTGTTCTTGCCGACCGCCATGGTGGTGCCGAAGGAACGAAAAGGCTAATTCTTGATAAATATGACTGCCTGATGGAAATATGTTGTCTTGTCAACAGCTTTTCAGACAACCAACAGCGGTGGATTTAGTAAATCTGGACATGGCTGAACCATGCTCCAAGGCCCAGAATCTTCACTACTTGGTAACGAAAGTGCCACCATAGTCATAGTCCTCTCTTGAGAGTTGCTACCATGTATTTGTGTGTCTCTATGCTAGTTCTTATACTCACTGACTTACCTATTAAGTTTTAAAATTTAATTCACTTATCTCATTATTAAAGTATAAAGAGAATGCTTTCTATTTATAGCTTATCCAGTTTTCAGCTGGATAAGTAATTTGAAAAGTAATAAGAAGAATATTTCCCCCCCCCCCTTTTTTTTTCGGTAATCATTGTAAACCTTGTGGGCCTAATGAAATAGAAAGCTATTTAATGAGTTAAGTTTCAATGATTTAAAAACTTTGTTTTAGTGAAGCCAGAAGATTTTAGGAATAAAAGACTAGTTTTTTTACATATTTGTGTAATTTTACATGGTATGGTATGAATTGACCAATATTAACAAGAAATGCTGCGTGACAGTATGGTTCTAGACAGATGTTTGCAACAAAACATTTGGCCATCAGGTTAGTTATAGGAAATAGAAAATACACCAAGGGGATTACATGATTAAAGAGTAACCCTCAATTGCCAAAGGAAAGGTAAGAGAGGCATTTATTATGCTTACAAGCCTCCTCCAGGGAAGTTTAGGATGCAGGAGTTCAGTCATTGTTGAGACTGTAGTAATTAGCTGTACCTCCGTGGTCCCCCCCAGCATTCACTGCATGATAGCCTTCCAGAAGGTGAGATGACTGCAGAGAGAAGGGGCTAGCATGTGAAATCAGAATTGAGGAGATGCTTTGGAGCAGGTTTATATTGGTCATATTTTGTAATATATATGCTGTCAAGTACTGTGGTTTGAACACTGGCCACAAAGGGCAAAAAGTGTTGGTCAGCTACTAAATTTGATAACTGTGACGTTTAACTCATTGAAATCATAAAGTAGGCCTAGTGTGAATTGTGATTTCTTTTTCTTCTTGATGTAGAGGTGTGTTTTTTTTTCTCTTCTCTCTGAACTACTTTTTGCAATTTATTAGGCAGGTGGACGTGTGCCAGTGTTAGACACACTCATAGAACTTGTTACACGAGGCCGATCAATCCCAGTACATCTGAATTCTTTACCAAGACTGGAGTCGCTTGTAACTGAGGTGCAGGCCTGGAAACAATGTGCTGCAAATACATTCTTGACTGAGAATTCATCATATTCTCTCTTAGAGGTAAGTATTTCAGCCATTTCATCAAATACAAAGGAGACATTATCAATTGATCTATGTTCTGTGACTCATTATTTCAATGAAGCCAAGTACATTCTTCTCATCTGATGAGGCAACTTTTTAAATGCTTTCTGGTTATGTTGAAGGGCAGCATTCTCTGTAAGGGAGAATCTCTAAGGAAGAATGCTTCTCCTAGTGTATAAATCCTTCTGTGTTGAGATTGAACTTTTAACCTTGATTGTGCTTTATTACTTGAATTACTAAGCCTGATAAATTAATAATATCCACCTCTCCAAGTGCTATCCTCTTTTCTTTTTCTTTTTTTTTAAATTAAATTTTATTAGTTTTAATGAACATTTACAGAGATTTTAGGTTTTCATTCATTCATTGTTGCACTGTTTTCTCCACCCTCCTCCCCAGTT